ACCCACCTCCCATCTCGTCCTCGTCAATGTTGGTAACAGGAACGTTAGACCACCTGTAAAAAGCTCAACATTGCATCGAGTTAAAAGCAGGGTGTTTCAACAAACCTTGACGAGATTTATAGTTTTGCTATAAGAGCTATTGAAGTTTGTAAACGTTTATAAGTACACGTTGCATTCAGATTTCTTCAAAGTCAAATGTCCGTTCAGAAGAGGTAACTTATTAAAACTTTCTTGGTTTTTAAAAAATTAGTCGATCTTCAAGGGTTTATTACTGCGTCAGCAAGACCCCAGCATGTCTGCTCGGGATTGCCCGCTTTGATCCCGCGCACGAGAAACATTGAGTGGAGCGGACTTACAAAGTTCGTAATGTTTGGACAGTGACGGCGATGCAGCCGAGAAAAGTGTCATAAGACAGTCAAAACAAACAAAACATAAACGACTCTTGTGGGGTTATTGTGCTACAAACACAATTGGCCTTCTTTCCCGGCTCTCGAAATAAAGAAGTCATTCTTAATTCTTATTAAAGCTACTTTTGACCAAGCTGGCTGGGTAGTAGTCTCGTTCGTTCTTTTATTTTTTTCAGGTCTGATTTTCGCTATTGCTTAAATAGCGCTATCTACTGCGAGGATCGTGCATCATATGTATCTAATACCGCAGTACAAAATATATGAACTTCATATATTTCATTGTATCTCATTTATCACTTTCACGGGTTTATTACGAATCAACTTAACGGCCTGCTCCCAGTTGGCTTGTTAGCTCAATTGGTAGAGCGCTGCACTAGTATCGCAGAGGTCAGTGGTTCGAATCCCGTACAGGCCTGATTTTTTTCAGGTCTGATTTTCGCTATTGCTTAAATAGCGCTATCTACTGCGAGGATCGTGCATCATATGTATCTAATACCGCAGTACAAAATATATGAACTTCATATATTTCATTGTATCTCATTTATCACTTTCACGGGTTTATTACGAATCAACTTAACGGCCTGCTCCCAGTTGGCTTGTTAGCTCAATTGGTAGAGCGCTGCACTAGTATCGCAGAGGTCAGTGGTTCGAATCCCGTACAGGCCTGATTTTTTTCAGGTCTGATTTTCGCTATTGCTTAAATAGCGCTATCTACTGCGAGGATCGTGCATCATATGTATCTAATACCGCAGTACAAAATATATGAACTTCATATATTTCATTGTATCTCATTTATCACTTTCACGGGTTTATTACGAATCAACTTAACGGCCTGCTCCCAGTTGGCTTGTTAGCTCAATTGGTAGAGCGCTGCACTAGTATCGCAGAGGTCAGTGGTTCGAATCCCGTACAGGCCTGATTTTTTTCAGGTCTGATTTTCGCTATTGCTTAAATAGCGCTATCTACTGCGAGGATCGTGCATCATATGTATCTAATACCGCAGTACAAAATATATGAACTTCATATATTTCATTGTATCTCATTTATCACTTTCACGGGTTTATTACGAATCAACTTAACGGCCTGCTCCCAGTTGGCTTGTTAGCTCAATTGGTAGAGCGCTGCACTAGTATCGCAGAGGTCAGTGGTTCGAATCCCGTACAGGCCTGATTTTTTTCAGGTCTGATTTTCGCTATTGCATAAATAGCGCTATCTACTGCGAAGGGTCGTGCATCATACGTGATAGTGATTGTATCAAATAGCTGACAAACCTTTTGCCAGCGAGCATGAGATCAAACGCCTCATTTATTTTGTCCAATGGCATAGTGTGATAAATTATTTTATCCAGTTTCAGTGTTCCAGCCAAATATTCCTCTGACAGCCTCGGGATACCATCCTTTCCTCTAAACCCTGGTCAAGAGCGTTAAAAAAAAAAATAAAAGCGTGATTTTATGAACGATAATTTGATGTGGCGTCATTTGAAAGTGGACACCGCAAGCCCTACAATCTAGGAATGCGTTTTGGAAGATAAGAAGAAAAATCGCTCCGTAGTTACCTAGTGTTTGATTTTCAAGGGTCAAGAAAGTGAAATACTACTTGAGAAAAAGTGATTTAAAATCACAAACAGAACCAAGATGGCAGACGAAGACATTCACCTTTCATACTTAAACTTACTACATATGTGGGTAGCTAGAGTATAGTCAGCAACAGGTTATGGCAAAAAGTCACGAGCTTCACCCTAGACTAAGAAACCAATTATGAAAAGGTAAGATATTGATAACCTTACTCTCGTCTGAGCAAACCTGAAGTGTTCCGGAAAACCGAAAAAAAATCACATTTTTCGGAATCAAAGTGTTTTGAGTTCCATCGTTCATTCTATTCTCTACCGTCTTCAAGTCTTACCTCCGCCGTAAAGGGATCCTTTCATAGTACTTCCCAACACATAACCTCTCGCATCCACTGCAAGTTCTTCACCTACAGCAGCTATTCCAACAAGCACAGTTGTACCCAGAATAGGGTGACTTGCTTCAAATGCAGCTCTATACAGGAAAATGCAGGGACAACCTTTATTCCAAGTTAAATTTTTAAAAACGAGTTGATTCCAGGTTTCTTCTCGAACAAGTAGTAGTAAATCACTGTACATTAAAGAAAGATGTGAAAAATCTACCATGATGGTGGATCAGGGAGAAATATGAGTGCCCCGAGCTGCTCCGAGTTGCTCCGAGCTGCTCCGAGAGGAACCGAACCTCAACCAATTCCGATTTCGCAGCCGAATTCTTCCTCAACCACACTACTGAGGATTCCACGATTGACTAGTTAGGCTATAAACCCGGTTTATATTTGACACGCTTTCAGTAATGTCCAAAAAAATTTTTTTGAATAGAAATATAAAGTAAACTCGTCACAAGCATTGCGTTACCGAACGAAAGTTTCTAAGAACGACGGAAGGTTGTGTGACGAGTTGGGGCGTCTTCTAGATTGGCACGAGGACCACGAGCACTGACTATCAATATTTCTTCAGCGGACAGTGAGCTCAAAAATAGGGTCTGGACACAAGTTCTTTAAACTAACGCGATTAAATTCATTTTAACTCGACTTGCATTCATTTTACACCGTAGACTTTCAAGCGTTTGTCGACGAGTGCAATTAAGAGTTCCACTATTTACCATTGTTTCAACCTTGCCAATGCACTCAATTGAGTAACTGACTCTTCCTTAGGTCATTTCTCAAGACCTACGAATGAAATTAATCACTGACAATTTAGAAACGGAATGCCTCAGGAAAAATGTTGTTAAAAGGAATGTTTAAGGTGAATTCCACAACCTCGTTCCCGGGGCCTTTTCTCGTACCCCCAACTAGGGGGAAAGACCCTGGGAACGAGGTTGTGAATTCCACCGAGCCTCATAAGGGGATCTGGTTAATTTCAATGTGACAGAAACAAAATCCTCCCATCCCGCCTCCCCGACAAATAATGACTAGTCCCAAATTAGCTTGTGCAACGAGCAAATCTTTTTTTGCCATTTTTGAACCATTGTAAAAAAATTACGGCTCAGTACTTGAAACACCACATGATAAACTACACGGTAAAATTACACTAAAACCAAAATAAACACTTATTTCATTCTGTTTTCATCAATCCATGCAGATGCTATTTCAGCCAAAAATGTGACATCAAACTGGAAAAATGTCCTCACATTTATATACGAGTTGAGGTTAGATTGTATACCGCCAGTCACACAGACGTTTACAAATAACTTGACAATTTACAAAATGTTTCTCTCCGATTCATTGATTTGAAATTTTGCAGGTTGGGCAAAGTAATTTCTTGCCATCATGATGAGCATCGGTTCTTTGGGTAAGCTAGACTGATTCCATGGGGAAAAAAAAACGCCCTACCTGTTGTATAGGCTTGTCATAATCTTTAGGATTCACGTATTCCGTGCAGCCAAGTTATTTAGCTGCAAGGGAAAATGCTAAAATTATTGATAAGTGACGACAAAAATTTAAAAGCAAAAGTTCCCACTTTTAAGAAGAAAAAAAAAACCTTCATGGTAAGTCTGTTTGATTACGTGTTCGTCCGACTTGTAATTTTAGAGGAGTTTAATTACTCTTACGGAAGCGGCAAAAGGTAAATTCTTCTTTTTAGAATTAATCATCACATCTAATCTAATGCAAAAATTGCAAGTTCAATGTAAAATAGGAAAAAGTTAAACTTTTGCCTGAAGCCGTTTGTTGTAAGCACGATGAGGGACAAGTCATTGTCTTATCACTGATTAATAAATTAATTATTGAAATAGTCAGTGCGTTTACAAAAATCGCACCGCAACAAACTTATAAAATGACAGATAGCCATCACACAATGTTCTACTTGCACCCAAGCCCTTGGGATTGATAGTATCACGCTCTGTAGCTACCGCCTCAGTGCATAAAGTCAACTAAGTAAAAGAAATTATTTTCAAGGAAATTATTTGAATACAACCGCTAAAGCGTGCGGGATTCGGTTATGTATACTTGCTTCAGATGAAGTACGATTAGTGTTATATTTCATGTAAGAATGGCAATTTTGTCCGTTTTGAAAATTTTTTTTTTTTTTTGTTTTGTTTATATATTTGTTTGTTTTTTTTTTTATGAGGGCCAAAAGCAGATTATCCTGTGATATTTCGTACTACCCTTGATAAAGAAAGATTGTTATCATTATTATCATTAATATTAGATGCAATAAAAACTCCTGGATGCATAGAAAAAAAATTAAAAGATATATAGGGCGTGACTACGTGACAAATCTGCTAAACAGAAATTCTAACACGAAAGGACTATAAAGAAAAAAAAATTATAAATATATGAATGAAAGTTCGTAACTAAAAATCTCTCTAAAAGTTTACATGAATTGTTCCAGTTATCATTATTATTACTATTATTATCATTATCATTGTTACTATTCCCATAATTATGAGAGTATACACACGTACCTTGGCAACAGCTATTTCTGGGAGGACAATATTAGTATATTCACTAAATGCACCGACTCCCAGAAGCTGACACAAAGGTTTCCCATGGCACGTGGATCGTTTTGTACCATCAAGCATCTCACCTGTAGGGCGCAGTCGTCTCCTGAAGTATTTTAAGTAGCAAATTATTAGTTCGAGATGATTACAACAGTATTCAACATACATATGTTTCAGGGAGCATATCTGTTACATCTCCACAGATTAAAACTTTTTATGAAATAAGGACACGGAGAGCGTTTTGAATTCCTAAACTATAACATGACCTTTCGTCATTGTCTCTGTAGGGAAATCTACCTGACACAAATATTAGTCTTGAGTTTTGGCATAATACACACTCCCTGCATTCAGCTAGAAACAGTGGTATCACGTGATCACCTGTAACTGATAACATGGGGATTTAGTCTTTCAGGCGAAACCGCTCATGGTAATTTAGTTTTTAGGGTCACGAAAACTTGGACCTTCGAAGCATTTCAAATTTTGTTCTTTGCGCTAAATTAAAGATAAAATTTAGAATAGATTTGTTAGCTTGCTGAACAACGACAAGCGTTTTTCTTTTGTTTTTCAGGCGAGCGCAAGAAGGTTGCTTGGCGGTAGTCACTTGCGAAAGGAGGAGCAGGAAAAATGCAATTACAATTTTAACGTTCCCCTCCCCCGGCCCTCGCACTTTCCTCTTCTCGCCTCAAAATACAAAAGAATGACGCTTATTTTGCAGATCTTACTTGTGTTTAATTTGTATTGGTATACTGTAAACATAAATAAAGGGAGGAAGCTTTTAGAGAAACTATGGTACTGCGTCGGTGGGGGTAACAAGGTAATTTGGTTTTTTCAACTGAGTTGATAATGTAAATTGGCCACCGTAAAGAATTAAAAGCCGACGTTCGAGCGCCAGCCCTTTGCCATTCGCTCTGACAAAGGATTAACGCTCGAAACGTCAGCTTTTAAACTCTTCACGGAGGGCAATTTACATAATCAACTCAGTTGTTAAAACCAAATTACTGCAAACATGGTCGTGAGAAAACTAGGTACGAGAGTACTGCATGACGCAATCGTAGTTTCAGGTGAGCGCTTACGAAAATCTTGGAACAATCAGAAAATTATCAATCAGCCACGGAACCGAACAAACTTGGCAAATAATTTCTGCTCAAAACCCTTCCGAGGACTGCCATGTAAAACCTTTATACAACTGGCTTTCGTTTTCAGTTCTTAATCGTACTTAAACCTGTACATCCTTGGGTAGTCTCTCTACGAAAGCTACTTGATTGTAGTAAAATTTAATATAAATACAATACCAGGCCTCACTAATCTGACTCCTTCACCAATACTTTCTACAATCCCAATTGCTTCGTGACCTATTAAAGACACCTGGGAAAACGTCGTCTGAATCTCCTTTCCGGAAATTGTTGTCTGATGTGACACACACCAGCGGCAACAAGCATGACACGCACTTCCCCAACCTTGGGTGGAGCCACTTGGATGGTTTCTATAACAAGAGTTTTGTTGGCTTCCCAAGCTATTGCAGCGCGGCATGTAATGGGCTATAAACACCACACAAACACAAAATCAGCATCCACTAGTAACTAAAAAGAGAGGAACGTTCTCCCGCTCGTTGTCGATATTTGTTTTATATAGTCACCCACGTGAAGAATCCAATTGATCTACCAATATGGGACGTACTGTTTAATAGAGGTCGACTCAAATTAGCCCGTCAAAGGCCAAAAGTGAACACGCAAATAGAACTGATCAAACAATTTACATCAAAGGATTTTATCATTATCTTATTTTATTACAAGATGCCTGGAGGCGTTCACGTGGTATGCGTTGTGTGTCATATACAGTCGCTCTGGTTTTAAGTTTTGAATAATAAGTTTAATGCTGACTCTTCGAAGTCAACAACATGGGATATTATGTGCAGTAACCCATCCAAGTCTTACTCTCTAGACGGATAATAAGAAATATTTTAGATCAACATGACTATTTTTATAGGTATCCTGTCTTAAAGTAATATCTTTCCTTCCTTCTCCGACCTTACTGCGTGATAAACAAAACAGCAGATCGCTTAGCTGTAGAGAGAATTGTCAACTTTCAGCGGCAGTATTTTTCTACATGGGTGGGGAGATGTTTCTCTCCTAAATGCTGTTTTATGATACCATTAAGCATGAAAAAGCTGTTTTAACAGCTTTTTCACTGAGCACTTAAAAGTGCATTGAAGTGAATTGAGCACTTATAAGAGCTCAGTTCAGGTGTCAACCACAGGTTGTAGACGTTAGTTGAGTCCGCTTTTGTGCATTGTTAGATTTAATCTTCGCCGAAACCACAAATTTTTTTATCTCTTCATACTCTTCTACTCTATTTTAGTCAGTCTGAAAAAAATTATCATGGGGAAGAAGTTGGAATTTGCGCTGAGCCGATATTAATAGTTGCATATGGCTCTTCGGTCATGGCGGCAAAGGCAAAGTAAGTGTCAAACTGAAAAATAATTCTCAGCGGCAGAAAACCATTAAATAAGAAAAAAACTTATGTGATTTGCTCTCACAAAGGGTCGATGTAAATATGCAAAGCAAAAAATTCCTCAAACAAGAGTTTTAATAAAAGACAAGTAATTAAATTCATGTCATCTTTAATAATCAAAGCTGTTAATTAAAAACGGGCCTTTGAGCGCTGAAGCGATTTTAGCTCGGAAAAAAATTGTTTTACAATATTTCGAAACACCAAGGTAGTTCCGATTGCTTTCAGACTAAGGCAGTTTCATAGGCAAAGTTTGAAAGAAATCGATATTTTGAACCGAAATGCATTGGACCGCTTCTAGAGAGAGACTGCGTCTCACCCGTAAGGGGATGGAACGACTCAACTTTTTGGGTTCGAAACGACTGGGTGCGAAACGACAGAGGGTACGAAACACCGGTAAGCACGATCCTGAACAGTAAATAGGTTTCACCTTTCAAGATTTTCGAAGCATCACAAAGTTATCAAGACATCGTCGCATAATGTGTGGAATACATGAAGCAGAGTATTCTGAGGTGTTTTTCTTTAGAAGGCACGTTGCTGACTCCACCCTGTTTATCAATATAGCACGAAAACATTTTTCCTTGGAATATTTAAGGAAAGAAAGAGAAAGAAATATCGGAGAAATTGAATTGGTGAACCGATCAAAAGATCGTCACACCTTCAACAGTACACTAATTAACATCAGGATTAAAGGCTCCTGTTAACATATCATAACACTCCATTTCACTCAGAGGTTTCCTTATCCGAAAGTATTCATCAGAATCACAAAATGAACCATACCAACTTTCAGAAGGAAGCATGCTGGACCCGTCACTGACGATCTACGTCTGCTAATAGTTATGATTGCGAAAGAACGCACCGATTGGCAAGTCATGGTTTCGCAGCACTAAATTGCACGCACAAACTCATGGCACCGAGAATATTTTTTAATGTTCTCGGCGCAATGAAAAAGCCAAAAGAGTTTCGTTTTTTACCTTTCCAGCTGTCTCGAACATCGTGAAAGATGGAAGGAAGCGCTAATCAGAATAAACTGGTGAAGGGAATTTAAGGTGGCCTTACAGTGATGAAACACAACCCACAATGCCAATGACCTCTCGGCATTTCATATCACGTTTTGCATGATTATCAGGGTAGAGAAAATTTATATTTTCCCTGGATGCTATGGGGAAAAAGCCATCATATAAAAAATTAACCCTGTTCAAGATATGTACAATCCAAATTATCGTTACTATGGTCACACATAATACACGAGCTGCAATAATTCGAGTGAAGAAGTTCCTTTTGATCGATTAGTACAAAAGTGTTCCCGCCCCTCCCCGGCCTCCCAATTTAGATTGTCATAACCCTTTGAACGTCGGGAAGGAGAACAAAACGTTGACCTCTTGCGGAAACGAATGGTGAAGCAGCATGGATTATTTCCCTACTCAGTATGGCTAAACCAGGTTAGTTTGATTCCTTTCTTCCCCTTAAATTTTTCTGCGACTCAGTTAAAGATGATGTTTTTCTGGTTTTTCTGTTTTATAGAGGTGTTTAAACGCTTTGAATGTAGCATCGCGTAATGTTTTGATCCAAATAGCAACAATTAATCCCATAGGGTATAGAAACTGCAATTAAAACTCCTGGCAGCCTCTTGTCGTATTCAAGCTTCAAATCGCTCTGATATATTTTGATGATTAAAAAAGAGGGTCGTTCAGGAGATAGGGCAATTTAATCTGAACGCAAGAAAGGCGCAGAACCTAGACGAACGAAATAAGATTGTCTAAATTACGTACTACGTAAATTTTGTGCTGTGAACTGCATCTTAGTGTTTACTGGTTTATATTGGAGGTTATATTAGAACCTTTATATCGATATTTGCAATCATATACGAATCAATATCTCGTTTCTGTGCTACACTTTGTAGAAAATAAGCTTGAAAAGAAAGTTCATCCGTAAAGCAACTGGTTTAAACAATCTAAATCTTCAAATGCTAGGAATAATATGAATGCAGGTAATCGATTAAAAAAAGAATGATGTTCTAAGCGTTACATAACTGTTACTTAATACGTACATTACTGAAAGCTTGATACTAAAACGTACACTAGGCCGTGAAACAATACATGTAAAAAGAAACTGATAAAAATAGTATGGTGATAACACCACACTATTGTTTCCTTTTCCTGACGTGTTTCCGTGTTCGAGTCTGTATTAATAGTATAATTAAAACTACCCAGCAATTCAGTCAGATTCGTCAATTATGGGTTTTGAGGTCAATGAATCTCTTTATAGTGAGACATGAAAAAAGAGGTTTACTGAAATTTTTGTGGCACTGAATTGAATATGAATATGAAAGGTAATGATCAATAGGGCAACCCCAAAAGCCAAAATGATGAAATGTTGGAATGGCAGAAAAATCACCCCAAATCATAGAAGACACAAAGGCAGAAAACTATCCTAAATTGTGCAAACAAAATGGTGGAAAATCATCCTAAATCCCAAGATATGGAATGGTGGAAAATTAACCCAAATCCTAAAAGACAGAATGGTGGAAAAATTACTCCAAATCCTTTGTTCTAGAACTTTGCAGCTTTCCAAACTGCCAGGATGTAGGGAAAGGCTGCAGACTTTCATATGCTGCTTAGAATAATTAGTACGAGTAGTGAGATCCTTTCTATATTGTAAAAGTATTCCGGGAATTGGTATCCTAATCATTGTACTATTTCACTAGAGAATCTTTTTTGCAATAAGTACTAGTGACTGAATAGATGGCATTGGTAGAACTGCATGTGAAATGATTGGTAATCTTCATGGATTGCTTGGGTCCCAGTATTTTCTTGATATGATCGATGAACAAAAGGACAAGATTTGCATCATGACTGCACGCATTTGAAAGTTCTGGGTTGATCAATTGTTTGAATTAAACCTCTCACTGATGAAAGTAATGCCTATGTTTTTGTCATGTTTGAATGAAATTAGTGGAGGTTGTAAAAAGAAAGTACCAGTCTTGCAATCATTTTGAAGTAATTTGAAAGTTTTTAAAAGTGGGTGAATGGAATATGATTGGTCTTTTCCATCTGTGACATTTAATTTGTAGTGCTGACTAATGAGTCAGTTTCTGGTGGTTGGCTTGAAGGATAGAAACAGGATAGCTGTGTTTTTTGAAAATGTGGCACATGGCCTCTAATTCAATGGAAAAATCGGAGCTGTGCATTGTTAACTAACTATAACCTTGTGAGAAACTGGTCATTAGCCAGTTAGCTTTTCTGACTGACACCTGCTGAGTAGTTTCAGTCCTCCCTGACTTGTAGTTGTGTTATTTCAGGGTAAAGCTCCCGATTTCCATCCAGATCATGACTTACAGCGATATGAACGTGAGCAATTTGTTCTTTCTACCCATTTTATTCACTGGCTTCCTTATTCTTGGGGTCTGTTTTGCATTCTGCTGTTATCTACTGAGGTAAGTAATAGTTACACAGTTTGATATTTGAATAGGTAAAAGGCTATATGTTGTCCAATTTGGATGTAACTGGAAGAAAAAAATTCCAAGGACAGCCAAAATTGGAATAAGCCATGGGTCAAGTCCAATTTAGTTGTCAGAAGATTTTTTTTCATCCAATTATTTCCAAAATAATACCACCTCCTGGTTAGCTCAATTGGTTGAGCGCCGGACTGTTGTGCAGGAGGTCAAGAGTTCAAGCCCTGGCTAGACCAACACTTGAGGTCTTAAAATAACTGAAGAGAATGTGCTACCTTTCTATAACATCAAGAAATGGACAGACGTTCTAGTCTTCTCGGACAAGGACGAATAAACTGTAGGTCCTGTCTCCTGCATCTATTAATTAGTTAATTTGGTTAGGCAGGGGATGTTAAAGAACCCACTCACGAGATTACTGTGATGTGGTCTGGCCTGTTTACTGGGAATTGGGGGGAGGGGGTATCTTTTAGATTCACCTTTATTGATTGTAAAGTGCTTAGCAGTCTGGTAAAGTCCCCCGCACAGTGTTGTAAAGTGCCATGAGCTCAAGATATGAGCACCATATAAATAAGTTATTATTATTATTAAAATTGTACAGGCATATATAATAAGTCCTCTTACTTACATAGCTTGTTAGCTGTAATTGGGTATTACTCAATCAAGATAGTGTTCTTCAATTTTTTTTAATTAGTAGTTTGAAACTATCCAAATTAATTTCAATGAGACAGTTTTAAAAAATTAAAGAATAACAACTTTGCTGACAATTTTGGATCACAACGTATATGTTGCAAGTAATTTTTCTCTTGGTTAATTTTATTTTTAACTATAGGTAAATTTTTTAACTGGGTAATTATTTTTTCTTAAGTTTTATTGTTTTGAGGTAGGAGGTGAGTTTAGGTCATGGAGGCGCAGTGGCCTCATTATTGGTGCGCTCGACTCAGGATCAAGTGGTCCGGGTTCGAGCCTCGGCTGAGACATTGTGTTGTGTTATTTTAAGACCTTGAGTGTTGGTCCGGCTGGAGTTTGAACCCTCGACCTCCTGCACAACAGATGTACTGTGCCAGCCAGTTGTCATATGAAAATGATAATTTTTTTTTTTCCCAGGACAACAGGTGATGACTATGATATTGATTTAGAATCTCCCAGAAGAATCAGATATGATGGTTTGAGGCAGGTAAGTTATAGCCTGTGAGATTTAAATTGAGAGATTTGAAACATCAATCTTGTATACCGCCTCCTGGTTAGCTCAATTGGTTAGAGCACCGGATTGTGTTGTGCGGGAGGTCGAGGGTTCGAGCCCTGGCCAGACNTGCTTAGCAGTCTGGTAAAGTCCCCCGCACAGTGTTGTAAAGTGCCATGAGCTCAAGATATGAGCACCATATAAATAAGTTATTATTATTATTAAAATTGTACAGGCATATATAATAAGTCCTCTTACTTACATAGCTTGTTAGCTGTAATTGGGTATTACTCAATCAAGATAGTGTTCTTCAATTTTTTTTAATTAGTAGTTTGAAACTATCCAAATTAATTTCAATGAGACAGTTTTAAAAAATTAAAGAATAACAACTTTGCTGACAATTTTGGATCACAACGTATATGTTGCAAGTAATTTTTCTCTTGGTTAATTTTATTTTTAACTATAGGTAAATTTTTTAACTGGGTAATTATTTTTTCTTAAGTTTTATTGTTTTGAGGTAGGAGGTGAGTTTAGGTCATGGAGGCGCAGTGGCCTCATTATTGGTGCGCTCGACTCAGGATCAAGTGGTCCGGGTTCGAGCCTCGGCTGAGACATTGTGTTGTGTTCTTAGGCAAGACACTTTGCTCTCACAGTGCCTCTCTTCACCCAGGTGTATAAATGGGTACCGGCAATTTAATGCTGGGGGGTAACCCTGCGATGGACTGGCATCCCATCCAGGGGGGAGTAGAAATACTCCTAGTCACTTCATGCTACAGAAACCGGAGTTAAGCACCGGGCTTAACTCCAGTTTCTGTAGCATGAAACATGGGCCACTGGCTCGTAAACAACCTTTTTTACCTGAGTTTAGGTCAGGATGACTTACCATACAACAAAATTATTTTGTATTTGGGGCTCAGCATTACAGTTTTAGGGTTAGGTTTAGGTTGACTTAATATTCCAAATATATTGTTTGTAGTACATTGCTTGGGTGAAAAAATGATGACTCTTTAATCAATATCAGTTGTTCTGTAATGTGCATTAAACTTGAAATGTGTTTGGCAATGTTCAATATGATTACTGATTGTGAGCCAAGTTGCAGGCTTTTGTGAATGTTATGTCTTTTGTGGTATCAGACTACATATTGGGTTTGGAGTGTTTCACTAGTCTTGCTGGAGATATCAGTGTGTTGAAATTTTTCCAAACTTGGTTGTAATCTTCACATGATTTTTTTTTCTTTCAATTGAGATTACTCTGCTAAACAGTATATTAGGATGCAATGGTGATGTTTTTTCAACTGGCCTGGATTTTTTATTCTTTTCTTTCTTGGATGTGTCAAGCTGACTTGCAACTTATGTAGGTGGCATAGTCCAACAAACAGCTGCAGAACATACTGTGATATTTCTGTACAAGTTTACTTTAGGTAGTCTTCTGACTTATCTCTTCCTCAGTGAGCCAATTGAGAATGCATATCTGTTAGTAAATATTTTTTTTATTTATAAAATTGTTTTTCATCAACACACAAAGTCATGCTTTTGATTCCAAGTCCAATTTGGACACAAGTGAGCATGCACCAGTTTTGCACCAATTAACAATTTGGCTGAGTTGGGCCTGGGGCCAAAAATTAATGATACTGAGAACAATTACATATTAATTAGTCATGCAGCAACTGAATTACTGGTGGACAAGTGAATAATAAGGTGGACTCTGAATCTGGAGGTTGGTTGTTCAAATCTGGGTGATAACTGTAATAAATAAAAGAAACAAATATAGAGTAACATCTACTAGGTGATGTAAAGTGGGTTAGTCTGATAAGTGTAGCATTATAGGGGAAGGGTGGAAATGGAAATGTGGTCAGGAGGGTGGCAAAAGTGAAAGAGTGGGGTTTTTGAATTGTTATTTTTTTCCGGGCCTCCAACTGCTGCATAAAGTCATTCCCAAGTAAATTAGTTTTGAGAATTTGTTATCAGATCCAGATAAAAACTTCTACGAGAGTGATAAGTTTGAGTATTTTTATTGCCAGTTTGTTGGGTAATTTATGGTTATTATAGGGATAAGTTACAAGTTAATCACCTCTAGGAGTTAGTAGATTAAGAAAGGGAGTAAAATCTACAAGTCAAGGCTTCATGGGCAGGAGAATGAAAATTTGCTCAAAAGTAACTCAAGTGGATGTCCTGACTCCGGGGTGGGACGGTGGGTACAAAGGGGGTTAGGTGTAGTGTAGTGCAGTGTAGTGCAGTGGTCCGGGGGAATGTAGTCCTGAGGGACTGTTGTCGGTGGTGAAGACTGATGATGACTTCCACGCAGGTTGTCAAAACGTCAGTCACCACTGCCGACAACAGTCTATCTCAGGACTACACTTTCACATGTTACCCGCAGGTTCAAACCATTTACTGTCAGTATTAAATGGAAGTCTTATCCTATAAATTGACTTAAGGTCTATACAAACTGTGATATTTATCCTGTACATTTTGGTTAGAAAGCTATTCAGATACCTGTCAATAAACCAGAATGCCTTAGCCTGAGAAAAGCAGGCAGCCAGCCTTTCGCTCCCTTCGCGGGGAAACGAAGGGAGCGAAAGGACAGCTGCTTTTCTCAGGCAAGAATGCCTTTGATTGTACTTAGTTGAAAACTGCTCTTAACCAGTGGTAAAGGTTAAGGAGTCTGCATCTCTGGAAAAAATGAACTTTCTCCTGTAGGTGAATTTAGAATTTAGAATTTAAAATTTAATTTATTCGCCACGGGAATGGCAGGGGAAAGGAACAGAACTTTCGTCCCAATTGACACCTAACCCCTTTGTACCCACCATCCCACCCTGGAGAGGACATCCATCACACAGTAATCTCGTGCATGGGATTAGTTAACGTCTCCTACCCCTAACCCTGCAGGAGACAGAGGTAAG